GAGGAAGAACCTGGATAAAACTGACTCAGTGACTGGGGTAATGGGGGTAATTGTCAGAGACAGTGACGCTGGCTCAAGATAGAGCAGGGTTCAGGGCTGTTGCACATTGGGTCTCTATGAGTCGCCAGCAACTTGATGGCATGTAACAATTACAACAACAACTATTGTGAAAATAGGATAATTGAGTAAGATGCATAAATATTCAAAAAAGAAAGGACAGAAGGGAGGCAGAAAAGGGGGAACAAAATGACTGGGAGAGCAGAGGTTTTATCTACATGAAACCTATTTTTTTTTCATTTTAACTATTTTTAAGTCCTTTAAAACCAAAGGTAAAGGGAGCTCTGGTGCCCTAGTGGCAAGAGCTGCACTGCAATCCCAGAGGTATGTGGTTCAAATCCACCAGATGCCCTGCCGGAGAAGGAGGGGCAATCTCCTCCTGTACCTGTCAGATCTGATTTTACGGTACAGACACACACACAAATAATAAAATTTAAAACAAACAAACAAACCAAAGGTAAAGACATTCCAAAGAAAAAATATTGCACAGAATATGCCCACTAAATAAACATTTTGATTAATTCAACATAAGTGAAAATAGCTTCTCTTCTGCAAATCCGGAATGAAGTTGTGTGGTCCTGACGGTTTTTATATTAAAAAAAAAAATGGGGGGAAATCATGTCAATTAAAGCTGCCTCTTAATCATGCACATTATTTTTTTTAAATTTTAATAATTTTAATGAACATTTATAGAGATTTTAGATTTCCATTCATTGTTGCACTTTTTTCCCTGCCCAGCCCTCCCCCCTGCCCCCCCTGAAGAACCAATTTTTCTGTTCTTCCCAATAAGTCAGTTTCAATCTTCAAACTGCCTTGTTTTTAAAAAGATATGATGCTGGAAATTCAAAGGGGTTTAGAGGTTTCTCCTTTGCCAATACAAGTCCCTGTAATCAAATAGGCACAACTGTCTGATCCAGGTAGGCACGGGTTGGCAGAGACTGGAGACCCACCTGCTGTTCTTATGCCTTTTCTGCATTAATCTTATCATTTTCTACTATCCTCTCAACGTTGTCTGTGAGACCGTACTTGGCGGATTTTCTGCAAACTGCATCTGTCCTTCCAGCCATCTACTCTGGCTCCATGGCGGACCTTGCAAACCACAGTCCCCAGAAACCAATCCGCACCCTCGCTGTGCATCTTAAGAGCTCAGCACCACGTCACCCACTCCAAGTACTCTACATGCAACCTATCTTAACGACAGATACAGAGGGTGGATTCAAATGGCTAGCCCTTCAGTTAGCAGACTAAGTATTATTAATATGTCATTTGTGAATCTATATCCCAACCAAAATTCTAGCATGTTCTTTTGTCTACAAACTTATCATAAATGTTTATATAGAAAAGCAAAAGACTGTTCACTTCAGCAGCACACATACTAAAATTGGAACGATGCAGAGAAGATTAGCACAGCCCCTGTGCAAGGATGACACACAAATTCGTGAAGCATTCCATATTTTTTTTAAAAAAAGAAAAGCAAAGACTCAAATTGGCCAACAAAATAATGAAGGTCAAAAAAAGGTTAGAAGACTGACATAGCCCTACTTCAAGATTTGGGATAAAGCTATCATGGTCAAGACGGTGAAAGGATATTCAAATAGATCA